AATCGCAAAATCAAGCGCACTTCAGCATTGAAGAACAAGGTCAATAAATGATTTGGTTAAACAAAAACTGGCCAAAGTATGTGTGAATGTGAGTGTGTATAGCTGTTTCCAACTGCGGCTGAAAGGGCATCCGCTGCGTAAAACATATGCTGGAATAGTTGATGGTTCATTCTGCTGTGGCAAACCCTAATAAATAAGGGACTAAGCCAAAGGAAAATGAATGAATGAACATTTTGAATTTGGTTTAATATTTATATTTCATATTTATGTTATGGTGCTTTAGTCAATGCATCTGATTTGTTTTTCAGTTCAATTTTCGTGATTTTAGTATGTTTAACTTTAACTTTATGCCTTAAAATTTAGTTTATTTTTTTATATATTCTAGTTGATTTCTGAAAGGTTTCCCAGTACAGGGTTGGAGCTAAAAGAGCATCCGCTGCATAAAACATATGCCAGAATAGTTGGCGGTTCATTCCACTATGGTGACCCCAAACAAATAAGGGACAAAGTCGTATAAAAAATGAATGAATGAAGGGATGATTTCAGATTTTATTTCAAATCCTAAAAGGTATCTCTGGTGAATATTTTGGAATAGTTGTGAATAGTTAAAAGTATGAACTGTTTTTAAAAGGGTCTACATTACTTGTGTCAAACACATGTAATTAAAATAAGAATTCACATTAAATGCAGATCGATTAAAAGCATGTACTGTAGACCAGGGGTGTCAAACTCAGTTCCTGGAGGGCCAGAGCTCTGCACAGTTTAGCTTTAACCCTAATTAAACACACCTGATCAAACTAATTGAGACCATCAGGCTTGTTTGAAACCTCTAGGTAAGTGTATTGAAGTAGGGTTGGTACTAAACTGTGCAGGGCTGCGTTCCTCCAGGGACTGAGTTTGACAACCCTGGTCTGAATGTTTTCAATCAATCTGCATTTCATTTTAGTTCTTATTTAAAGTAAATGACAATATTTTTTTCTGTATTTATCTTACAAGTAACAACACAAGGTTTTAATTTAATATAATAACCATGCACCACCTTTTGTTGTTCACATATATTTAGATAAAACTGTGTAGATTTTTAATATCAGTTGCTATATTATCCTTAAGCAGAATATCTCGTCTCTAAAGCAAAACCTCCTAAAACACTCTAAAAATACATTATGCAATCATGCAAACGATCCAAATCCCCCTGATTTAGTCCAAATCTATTATTGCTGACATATTTCCGCAGTTTCATCGAGAAGACAGAAATGCGTGTTTAGCACTTTAGGCCACAAGGGGATCAGGATGGCTGGTTCCCCTGCTGAAGGAGCTCCAGGTCAGGGGAGAACCAGGTGCTAATGAGCCCCGGCTTTGGGCCAGCTCCAGGGTGACGCCAATCTCCCTGCTTTAAAAGTCAGCCCAAAGAGAAACAGAGACGTTAAAGTGAAATAACACGGGATTATGGGTCGCATGGCACCTGTTGTCCACCTGACCCCCCACACACGTCCTCATTCCCAGCAATCCCTCCATGACCAATGTCAGCGGCTCCGTGGAGTCTGCTGATTTCACGCTAAGGGGAGGCAGGACACTTGTCTGTCCCTCAGCCTACGCACTGTCATCAGCCCCCTGTGGCTGGAAGCATATGGGAAAAGCTTGTTGTAAACAGAAGAGATCCGCTGTGGACACTGGAGAGGCATGCTGAGGCTTTATGATGGATGCCTTGGGCAGATATGGAAAGCGTTCGGGATTGGCACAAGTGAATGGGGATAATGTTCAAAGAGAGAACATCATGTTTTGTGATCTGGTCACATAAACCACGATACGATGCATCCAAACTACACAATATCACCGCACCAAACAAGCGACAAGCTAATCTAAAACTGTAGGAAGAGCTGATATTTAAATATGTGAATTACAAGAGGAGATTACCTCAAAATATCCTGGTTTTCATTACAGATTTGTCATCATTTGATAATTAAAAATAAAGAAAACTACAGTGAAATGGCTTTATTAAAATGTATGCCTGTCATGATAAATCATTCCAAAAATAATGTAGTGAAGTGAAGGGTTACAGAATATTAATTTAAAGGAAAACTAACTCTTTAATGCAGAAGATTGTTTAACATAGATGCAACATTTTGGGTAACACTTTATTTTGATGGTCCATTTGATGGACAGTATCAATAGACTGTCTGCTTAATATCTGTTGATACTGACATTACAGACGTTCAACTGACTATAAGAAACTTTGTAAGTACATGTCAACTTAAGTAGATTCAATGTAACTTAAAATCAACAAATGTACCATCAAAATAAAGTGTGACCACATTTTGTTTTGCAATGTTATCTATTAAGTATTTTGGAGGACGGTGTGGTGATTTCCAGTTTATTTTTCCTGCATTTGTGTTTTAGCAGCATGCATTGAAATGTTGACATAGTACATGATGTATGTGACCACAGAATTACAGAGCATGTCTTTGAAATCTGATCACACATGCTCAGAGGAGACCCATTGCAGAAGCATGTCGCTACTAGGTGTAAACAGCAATGTCTTGGCTGAACTCATGTGATCAAATCACCAGAGATGGATGTTAATAACATATCCTGAGTGCCAACATGTCCTAAAACACATGACCCATGAAACATAGGATCAAGTGAACCTTGATCGGTTTAGTCGGTTTGCAAAAAACAAGATGACACAAACAGGAGCACATGAACACAATCTTGCGTTTGCTTTTCCACTGTTATGTTGCACCTATTTATCTATTTGCATACAATCGTTTCAGCCTGCTTGACCACAACTGCTTTTAGGTAGATCTTCCCATCACATTTACTTTCCTTCCTCTCCCCTTTATTTTCATTTTGCTCGTCTCTTTGTAAAAGATGGTAGAGATTTATTTTTAAATTCCGCTGAGATTTGTAATGTCTGATATTTATTGTCAGATAAATGGATTGGATAATTTAGAGTTCAATTCCCTTTTCCTCCTCATTTACTGTCCTGATGTCTTCAAAACCCAGCTTAAAATTTGTTAACTCAGTTTAAAACTGTAAGTTAGGTGGACATATTTTGAATTTATTCGTAATTTATGAGTAAATTAGAGTTGAATTTACTCATGAAAATGATTTAACTGCACGTTTGGAACTGTTTGTTCAATGAAAGTAAAAAATTTAGTTGAGGAGACTTTGACTTTTGATTTCTTCACTTGAGCGTTAACAACTGTAAAAATAAAAAATAAAAAGTTGAGTTAACTTAAAATATTAAAGCAACCGGCTGCAAAGAAATTTTGAGTTTATTAAGCTTCAGTGATTGAAGTTGTGCCAAATTATTCAATAAAGTATACTCGACTAAAACCAGCGATTTCAGACAACTTAAAAAATAATTTGGTTCAACTTCAACCACTAAAGCTTAATAAACTAATAATTTCTTTGCAGACGGCTGCATTAATATTTTAAGTTAACTCAACTTTTATTTTTTACAGTGAGCAAGATAGGTGCTACTTTGCTTTTCCAAATGTATGAAAACACACTCACACACATGCACACCTACCTTTAAGGGGACTTTATGGGACAGATTTATTTTTTTTTTACAGTAAATATTGTATATTATGCCCCACACCCATCTCCAAACTAAACCCTCACAGGAAACATTTTTCATTTTTACGTTTTCTAAACACTCAATAATTATATATAAGATTTACGAGCTCTTTTGCTCATAGGTACAAAAAATATGGCCAAAAATACTTGCACTGCTATACTTGTGGGGACAAGTTTATTGTCTGAGCATAGAGGATGAATGTTAATTGATTTGTTAAAACAATCTAATGGAAAACAATTGAATAAAAAAAGAGTAAAACAAATAGTCAAACAGAATTTCCACAATATTTTATCTGCATTAATGTAAGTGCAGTTCTTAAAACTTCCAGAATCATGAACTGAGGTCAATTTAATGCGACTCTCCAGGTTTCTGTTAATAGAAAGCAATCTGTATTTGTGTTTGACAACGGTTGGACTTTGGAGTCAAATGAGGTTGAGAATCACTGCACTAACGCGTTTGTGACATTTTAAAAAGACAAATTAGTCATTTAGTTTGAACTTTTATACGGCATGTAATTGTACTTTGTGCGTCTTCAGCAGCTGACCGTCCTTTTGAAGGTGCTGACCTTTACCGGTGTGCTCCTCGGGGTCTCAGACCCTTCCTGCGGCTCAGTATAAATGCAGGACATGAACAAAACTGTGTGATTCTCTCTTCCTCCCTCTCTCTGTCTCACGTAAGCCCTCCCTTGTGTTTTTTCCAGCCGAGCTCTTTCTGTGAAAAACAATTAGACTAAAACTGCTCAATACCCAAGGTCCTCTGAACGCTTCTTTTTAAATAGAGCCGTCAAGGTGACTTTTCTCCAAACACCCACTGCTTCTGTTTTTTTCTCTCTCCTCCTCCTCCTCTCTTGCTCGCTCTGTCTCTCCGCTTCTCTCTCACGCTGTTATTTCCCACTGTGAAGACTATGTCCGATCAGAACACCTTTTTCTGACAGAACACGCTGCAAACGCACTAACAGTGTGTGTCGTCCCTGAGAGAACAAACCCATGATTTCCTCAAGTGCCGGGCACAGACAGAAGGGCAAGCGCACACACATACATGCACCCACAAAGATCCACAAACAAGATGCACACACATAAAGACGCACAAACTTACACACACACAGACACACTTTTATCTGACAAACCCCAGACTGAATTCTCTTAAGAGTGATTAAAGGAGGACTGATTTAAATATGGGATTAATAAAGCAGTGTTAAAACACGACCGAAACTACCAAAGCAAATGGCAGCTGCAATTTACAGAGCAATTTGGGCAACAATTTTTGACAAAAATCATTGATGTCAAAGTGATTTTTAATGGATGCCAGTCAGTTCTCCTCATGCTGACTTAGTTTTATATTAGCATAGTAGGATATCAGCATATAGTGGCATTTTTTCTGGCAAGTATGCTATACTTTGAGGAAAAAAGAAGGATTTTACCTTTATTGGTTGAACAGCTTGTCCGTCAATAGGAAAGACTTCAGGGAAAGATGGCTTTGCACACCTGAAAGGAGCACATTAATACATAAGAGCTTTCATCTTTTGGTGACATTCATGCACATTGGAACTGAGATAATATTTTCAATATACAGTAGCTGATAACCTAACCATAGAGTTAGCAAGAGTGAGCAAATTAGAGAGCAAATGAACTAATGACATATGGCAGGCCAGTGCAGAGACCGTCCAAAGTGCATGTGCAGGATACATTTTTTGAAGAACGGTGGTTTGTTGGAGGTGTTATCGCGCGCGTACTGATCAGCTGTGTTGTCGCGCACGTACTCAAGAGCGGTGTTGTCGCGCGCCTACTGAAGGGCGGGACCGAGGGTGTGCTGCGTCGCGGGGGCACTTTCTATCCAAGACAAAAAAGGGCATGTTCACTGCACAGGTTGAGCCCTATGTGTGCACGTGCCTGACATATGGACATAAGAATAAGTCCCCATTCAGGTGGAAAGTATTGAATTGTTTATAACAGGGTTATTATAGTTAATGAAAGTCATGTCAACATTTGCAGCTATATGACAATAAGAAACTTCTCATTTGCTTTTTTTTTAAATTCTTTCTCTCTCTTAACAAAACTTATAGGACACCCATGATGAAAATCAAATTTTGTCATATTGGATTAATATAAAAACAAGTCTCTCTTTAAAAAATCTCCTGATGTTAAAATAGGACCCAAATCCCAGTGAGTTTGAGGCGCACTGCAACGTGACGTAGAACTGTTTTTTTTTTAATTGACAGGGGCCATGTTTCAATAATAACATGTATACACATGACCACATGTTTTTATAAGTTTAAAAGGTTTGAGAGCACAGTACAATTCTATTGTTGCTTGAGCTATTTAATAAAATAGAATAAATGCTACTTGTGAAACTTCACGAAAATTCAAGGACGTTCAAACACCTTCAAGAGCAGCTTGAGTGTCTCGAAACATTTTTAAGGCCACTGTAGTAATGAAAAAAGTTGGCGAGTGTTTGAGTAAAAGAAAAACAGCTCAAAGCAAAAGTGGCAAGGCCTAATAAACACACAAAAATGAAAAATAAAGTGCTCTGCTCGAAGCATCTGTCCTTCTCTTACTCTCTCTCTCTGAAAAAGATTAGCTCTGAGAGAAAGCCCAAGGCCATGGCCGGTCTGATCCATCCTGCTCCCCGAGGCTCTCTTAATTCTGACACACATTCATCACTCGCTCCCACACTTCATCATCAGCTCCTCCAAACTCACACCTCCAGATGAGATCCCAGCTCTCGCCTTCCTCCTCCAAGCCAAGGTTATTTTCATAAACTAAATCTAAAACGGAGACTAAAATGATTGGTCAAATCACATTTTCGTAAAAACTGAATATAACAAATCTATGAAAAACTAAAACTTAATGCAACTCACAGCCGTGAAAAAGTAACTGAAATACAAATAAATTGTTTTCAGAATTAATACATTTCCTGCTTGACCTGTTAAGGAAAATACCAGTAGGTGGTGCTTTTTGCAGGTTGGCCAAATGCATTTAATCGCATGTTTACAATGGAAAACATTGCTGTAGATTGTTTAAATGGTTTCTTCATCTACCAAAAATGTCAGTTAGCTATTTTAACAATATTTAATTTTTATTATCTTTATTACATTTTTTATTCAGTTTTTTATTTATATATTTTTTACCTTTAAGTAGCATTTGTCCAGTTTTGCCTTCAATTTACACTCACCAGCCACTTTATTAGATACACCTTACCAGTACCGGGTTGAACCTCCTTTTTCCTGCAGAACTGCCTTAATCCTTCATGGCACGGATTCAACAAGGAACTGGAAATATTTCTCAGAGATTTTGGTCCATATTGACATGATAGCATCACGCAGTTGCAGATTTGACAGCTGCACATCCATGATGCGAATCTAATGCTCCACCACATCCCAAAGGTGCTCTATTGGATTTAGATCTGGTGGCTGTGGAGGCCCTTTGAATACAGTGAACTCATTGTCATGTTCAAGAAACCAGTCTGAGATGATTCACTCTTTATGACATGATGCGTTATCCTGCTGGAAGTAGCCATCAGAAGATGGGTATACTGGTCATAAAGGGATGAACATGGTCAGCAACAATACTCAGGTAGGCTGTGGCGTTGACACAATGGTCAATCGGTACTAATGTGTCCAAAGTGTGCCAAGAAAATATCCCCCACACCATTACACCACCACCACCAGCCTGAACATTTGATACAGGGCAGGATAGATCTATGCGTTCACGTTTTTAGCACCAAATTTTGACCCAACCATCCAAATGTCTCAGCAGAAATCGAGACTCATCAGACCAGGCAATGTTTATCCAATCTTCTATTGTCCAATTTAGGTGAGCCTGTGTGAATTGTAGCCTCAGTTTCCTGTTCTTAGCTGACAGAAGTGGTTCTTCTGCTGCTGTAGCCCATCTGCCTCAAGGTTGGACGTGTTGTGCATTCAGAGATGCTCTTCCGCATACCCCGGTTGTAACGAGTGGTTATTTGAGTTACTGTTCCCTTTCTACTAGCTTGAGCCAGTCTGGCCATTATTAAAAAATAAATCACGAAAAAAATAACAATAAGGAAAATACCATTTACTCTATTCTTAATTGTTACTGTGCTAATGAATAAATGTGTATCATGCACACTATACGCATTTCATACACCAAAACATATACTTTTGTTTTTATGCAATGCTTTTTGCAATTGTATTTCCTAAAAGAGACCTCCTTTCAATAAAATAATGCGTACAAATATTTTAACGTGGCCCTTGATTTTATCCATCAGCAATCAAATGAGTTGAGAAGTGGTTGCTATATATCACTAGCAGAATGTAAGCATACTAAATCACTGGCCAGATAGCTATTTGGCTGTTGGTAAACATACCGAGTATCTGGCCAGAGTCTGTATCTGAGCATGACAAAGTACTCAAAACTGCAAAATAGGTAATTTAGCCATAAACAAATGACCGGCACTGCAGATATTTCCTTTCCTCTTAGTGATGTCTAACGTCTACCACAACAAACAAATTGCACAAAAAGCTAAATGAAAGCGAGCTGACTGCTGAAACAGAAGGAGAGTTCTGCCTGACGACAGACAACAGATGTGTGCATGTCCAACTGCCTCCTGGCCGTCTGTTTGTTCGTGCACAGAAAGACCACATGCAGATATCCAGCACAGTTACGTGACAGCACAACTCCAAAAGTTTCTAAATAAAGTCTGACACAGAGACACGTGACAGCAAGTCTATGAGTTTCCCAATTATGTTGAAGTTATGCTGTCCAATTTCTTTCATTCTATCTACCATTTCTTTCTGACACTGATTTAATGGATTTTAAAGGGATAGTTCCAGTGGTGTAAAGTAACTACTTACAAATACTCAGATTACTGTAATTAAGTAGTTTTTCTCAGAAATTGTAATTTACTAAGTAGTTTTATAAATATGTACTTTTACGCTTCCTTGAGTACATTTTTAGTACAGTATTTTACTCTACTACTTTCTTTTAACCTGCCGTCACAACTTTATTTTCTCCTGCCTATGGGGATTAGTAAAATCAGCCCTTTAAGTCCTGTCCAATCAAATCACACATATAAATTAAATGGCATCATAATGAACAACCTCAAGACATGGCCGATTTATAATTGAAGCAAACTGTTTGGAAGCATTAAAAAGTGTCCAAGAAGATGTCCAAAATTTTTACACGCATTGACCCAGAGACTGTTTAGATGCATGTCACTGATGATAAGATGACAGATGTTCACTGTATGATGACCGAAACACCCAGCAGGCACAAGACTTCAATATGGCGTTGTACCCGAGTGCCGTGGAGATGTAGCATTTTGTTTGGAAATGAAAATCATGTTGACATCAGAACTCAAGATCAGGCCAATGTCAAACTTAAAACCAACCAAATATCAACGTATAATGATGTTACAGCTTGACGTTATGGTGACGTTATCAGTATGACGTCTTTCACAGGTTGGATTTTGGTTGCCAAACCTGAGGAATAAATATTTGACATCAATGTGACGTTGGTTTAAGACAGTGGTTCCCAACCTGGGGTCCGCGCCCCCCTAAGGGGGGCGCCAGAGTTTACAGAGGGGGCGCGGGAGAGGATAAGTATTAATTATTTAATTATTTAAATTTTGCTCACTCGCGCAATCTGCTTGTCAACGTGTCGTAAAGGCAAAATCAAAACAAAAATGGCAGACAAACGTAAATGCAGTGATTCTTCAGAGGCGAAGAAAAAGATTAGACAGTATGACAAAGCCTACCTAGATTTTGGATTTATTGAAGGCCAAGACAAGTTAAAACTGATTAATTAATATTTTCTATACATATTACTATATATTAATATTACACAAACACACACACACACACATACACACACACATATATATATATATATATATATATATATATATATATATATATATATATATATATATATATATATATATATATATATATGGTGGGGGGGCTCCAATGTTTGTATATGTTCATGGGGGGGCCCCAAAGAAAAAGGTTGGGAACCACTGGTTTAAGATGTTGGCTCGACGTTGGATTTTGGTCACTTTCCAACACAACCTAAAGTCAACCAAATATCAACGTCATTATTGGACATCAAAATAACGTTGTACTTAGACGCTGGCAAGACATTGAATTGTGGTCACCTGACATCACAATCTAAATCTAACATAATGTTGATGTCTTATGATGTTGTGTGCCTGCAGAGCAATAACTAAATGCACTTCAGAATGTTACGTCTACATACATATGCACTAATTACATGTAAACGCATCAGCTTCACGCAACGTAATACCACTCACTACTCTTGAGTACTTTTGAAAGCTCTACTTTTTAATCATACTGAGTAAAAATTTACAACAAATACTTTTACTCTACTCACAGTACATTTTTAGGCAAGTAATGGTACTTTTACTTGAGTATGATTTTTCAGTACTCCACCACTGGATAGTTCACCCAAAACTGAAAGATTCTGTCATCATTTACTAAACCTTCACT